TCACAAGAGCTGCTCAATCTCGTTGTATCGCATGACCTTTGCGCAGTCAACACATGGCGTGGGCCCAAACAGATGGCATACACGTATAGTATGGGCAAGGCCCGGACCTTGATCGACTATGTGTTCGTGCGCGTGCGGGATGCAGACTCTATTGCTAAAGGTTGCCTGCCGCTGACTTCTTTCCCTATCGCAGACTGGCGCTTAGATGGTAAACATCGGGCGATGATTGGGAGTCTTGCTGCCACTTGGAAGGTCAGGCCCACCAATAAGCCACAACCTCAGTACAACAAGGAGGCCATGTTGGAGGCCTACAGTAAAGATCCGACACTTGCGGAGGTATCAAGCGCCTTTGTCGGCTTGATGGAACAGCATCGCTGCACTGCGGATCAAATTTCGGACTGCCTCTTGAAGGCATGCTGTCGTGTATATCCAGCGGTGCGGGCCCAATGCACAGAGGATCGCATGAGCCTGGTCAGGGGACCAATTGCTACTATGTGGGCTACGTGGCGCACATTGCGTGCAACCCGAGGCGCATCGCTCAGATCCGTCTTGCAGATTTGGAGATTGAGGGTGCGATTCAGAATTCAAAAGAAGGCGGTTGAGAAGGCCAGCCGTGAACAGCGCAAACTTCGTGTTCACACACTCCTTGAGCAAGCGGAGACTGATGACAAAGCCCATAATACACGCGGTTTGTACTCCACTGTACGTAAATTGGCACCCAAGCAGCGTTATAAACCGCTACAAGTGAAGACTGAGAAGGGTATTTGCCTCTCGTGTCGGGAGGAAACTGCTGAACTTAAACGGTTCTTCGGTGACGTCTTTTGTGGCAAGGAAACTGTGGTTGTTCAACCGTGGACGGAACCCTATTGCCCTGCATTGGACACACTGCAACGTGCGTTGCAAAAGCTGCCTGCGCACAAGGCAGTACCGGGTATTTGTGCCCCGTCCATGGTGTGGAAGGCCTGTGCCACCACTGTGGCACCTTTTCTGCATGCTGCCTTTGCGGATATGGGACATTCGCACACACCGATGGTCCCGCATCGTTGGAAGGATGGATGGATGGTACTTGCACCGAAAGCGGGTAAACCGCTTTGTCGTGCCTGCGATGTCCGGCCCCTGGCGCTCCAAGATCCGGGTGGAAAAGCAGCGATTCGCACATTGAAAGAGGCCATACAGCCCTACGTGGATGAGTACATGCAGGCAATACCTCAGTATGCCTATCTACAGAAACGTGATGGGCAAATGGCAATTCTGCGTGCGTGCGCGCACCTACGCCAGGTACGGCAAATGGC